TTAGAGATGGGGTCTCACCATGTTGCTCAGGCTGGGCTCAAGTGATCCTCCCACCCCAGCCTACCAAACTGCTAGGATTACAAGTGTGAGGCACCGTGCCTGGCCTCATTTATCATTTTATACTTTTTTTTTTTTATCATTCTTCTCCTTAGCAAGCACAATATTATTTTATAAATCAGATTCAAACATTCTATGCAATCCAAATTTCATTACTTCCGTTAATTATCATTGGTATTCTGTCTAAAAATAAATGACATCTCATCTGAAATTATTGGGCAAAATTTTGTAATTACATTTTTCACTGCAAAACCACTGCATTAAAAAGGCAACAATTTAAAAATTTCAATTTTTACATTTTCTTTCATGTTTCAATATGAACAACCTTATGAATCTATCAAGTTACACATTTGATGTAATTTCTGAACTCATATTATTTTTTTGAAGCCTATCTCACGATACAAATATTTTATGAGTACAATGTTTATTTTGGAAAGCATATTTTATACCATAAAGACTAAGAGTAATTTATATTTATTTCTAAAGATTAAAATTTCTGGCCAACTCTTAACTTTCTAAGCATCTCTCTTTGACTTTATAGCCAAATGTCATAGCAGTTTAAGAATTGAATCAAGTGTGTTTCCATTAGCAGCTAAAAACATAGAGAATTAACATACAGAAGTTCTTAACTGTGTTTAACTTTTATTCATTAGGTAATTATTTTAGTACTTGAAAGATAAATTTAAAATAATATAATTGGGTTTAATATCTCATGGATCCTCTTCTCCTTTATACACATGTTCATAAATAACCTTAATCTGCTCTACAATGCTCCAAAAACCTGATTTAATTAGTCTCCTTCCATCAACACCCCACTTGATGGAATATATTAAGGTACCGAGATTATCTGCACAGAGAGAATTTCTGCGGTTATTGAGGCTCCATTACACACCAGAGAATGAAGCTGGTCATGGCATTATTGAAATCAAGCACCTGTTCTCTGGAACATCTGTGTTTTCTGACTCCAGATCTCTTAACCAGGGTTCAAGTTAGAGGAGATGGGTGGGCTGGAGATGTTAGAAAGTGGTAAAAGACGGGGAGATACAAAAGGTGAGGCAGGTAGATAGCATCAAAAAAACAGAGAGTCACCTCCTCCGTATAATGTAAGACCTCAGCTATTCCTCCTTCAATTTCTGGCATGGAGAAATAAGTATATGTTTATTATTTAGGAGAAGCAAATTTCTCACAAAGAGTATGTTTCCAATACCAGTTCCCCGGTGTGCTAAAGCATGTCCTTAAGTAGGTACTATTTAGCTTCTTAGACTTTGGTGGTAACAGAGATGCAAGTAAAATGTTGGAAAAGGGAAACATAATTTCTCTTAAAGGGTGTTTCCCCAGTGCAGGATTACAATAAGTCTTAAATGACCCAGTAGATAGAGCAGTTATAATTTAAACAAAAATGTCAAGAGTAGCCCATTGACATACCGATTCATTAATAATTATCAGAGTGTGGTAGGCAGGGTATAGATACAATGAGAATACTGAGGCCTTGAAAATGATAGAGGAATTCTGCTTCCAAGAATATGGAGTAGACACACTTCTTATTACTCCTGTTAAGGTCAGGGAAAAACCCTGGACATTATATAAAAAAAAAAAAAAAAACAAGGAAAAAAACATAAGAAGACTATGAAAGGTAGAAAAAAAGAGGCAGATCAGCTGGGGACCTCAGGACCCAAGAAGCCACATGGTGGAGAGTTCCTGTGTTTCCTTTTTGCCTCATATATCCCAGATTAAGAGCTGAAGTAGCTGGCAACTAGAAATGCCAATGGATGCAGACAAAAAAAGCCTCAGATATACCCTGCTCCATCTAGCTAGAGGACAAAGTAAGGGGCAGCCCAGCAATAGAGAATGTTTTTAGACATTAGCTTCTTTAATCCAGCCAAATACTGAAAAAAAACTGTGAGCCTACCCCCACACATGCCAGCAAAGGCCGAGGGAGATGAGCCTCCACTTTCAAGAGGCTTAACGTAGCACCCCCACAGCCCCACCCAGGTGGTGTCAGAGAAAGCCAAGTGGGGAGCCAGGACTTCCATCTTTGTAGACCAGTAACAAGGCCCCAATCTCAGCCACAGTGTCAGTGGAAACCACGTAGGGAGCATGGACCTCCACCCACACGCAGCAGCAACAGGATGCTCCTCCTCTTCCACACCGGGGTGACATCACAGGGGCTGTGAGAGCCTGGACCACTACCAAGTGGCCATGAGAGCACCCCCCCTGCTGTGCCGGTAGAGACCACATGGGGAACTGGGAACTCCCAATCCACCGAGAGTAACAAGGAGCCCCACCTTCAATGAGTGGGGAACCTGGACTTCCACCACTACCTGGCAGCAATGAGGCAGCACTATTACTTCCCTGGCAGAACAGCGTCAGAGAAAGCCAACTAAAACAGGTTTAAACAAAATTCATAATCTCCTAATATAATATGGAAAAAAAGGTCCAGCTTTCTACAAAAAAATCATTCATACAAAGAACTGGGAAAGATCTCAAACTGAATTACAAAAGAACAATCAGGAGATGTCAGTCCCAAGATGCCAATGTGTTAGAATTAACACAGTCTCAAAAATCTGAGAAAGACATCAAAGCATCCATGATAAAAATTCTTCAGTGACCAATTATGAGCATGCTTGAAACAATGAAAAAATAGAATGCCTCAGTAAGGAAATGCAAACTCTCAGCAAAAATAAATATATGAATATATAAATGCATACCAAGTGGGAATTTTAGAACTGAAAAATGCAACAAACAAACTATAAAGCTTAAGGATGTGATCAACAGGAAAGTGGAGGGGGCAAAGGAATCAGTGACCTGAAGGATACAACAGAAGATAATATTCAATATGAATAACAGAGAGAAAAAAACTGGAAAAAAAAAATGAACCGAGCCCCAGGGATGTAAAACTGCAATCAGCCCCTCATGTCTGCAGGTTTCACATCCACAGATTCGACCTACAGTAGATCAAAGATTTTTTTTAAAAAAGGCAAAAAATAACAATACAACAATAAAAACTAATACAAACTAGCAATAAAGTATAACTATTTACATAGTGTTTACATTGTGTTAGATATTATAAGTAATCTAGAGATGATTTAAAGTATACGAGAGGATGTGTGTAGGTTATATGCAAATACTATATCACTTCATATAAGGGGCTTGAGCATCTGCGGATCTTGGTGTCTACAGAGGATCCTGAAATCAACCCCCTGAAGATACACAGGGATGCTCATATGACAACAGATCTAACATTTGTGTTATTGGAGTCTTGGAAAAAGAGGAGAAAGAGGGCAAGTCTGAAAAAGTACACAAAGAAATAACAGCAAAACACTTTCCAAATTTGGCAAGAGACATAAACCTGCATTTTCAAAAACCTGAACAAATCCCAAACAAGATTAATCCAAAGAAATTCACACAAGACACATCATAATTAAACTTCTGATCACTACAGACCAAAAAATATTTTTGAAGTCATCCAGAGTCACATGACACTCTACCTACAGGGGAAAGACAATTATTATGGAATGATTAGTTGTCATCAGAAGCTACAGAGGCCAGAAGGAAGTGAACTCAATACTTTTTCAGTGCTGAAAGAAATAAACTGTCACCCCACAATCCTATACCAAAATAAAATATCCCTCAGGAATGAAGGAGAAATCAAGACATTCTCAGATAAAAGGAAACTAAAAGAATCTGTCACCAGTAGACCATTATCCAAAATAATGGATAAAGAAATTCTCTAAACAGAATATAATAAAAAGCATAATCTTGGAATACCAGGATAAAAGAAAGAACACAGTTAAGGAAGAATGTACAATAAGCTTCTCTTCTGCTCTTGAGTTTTCTAAATTATATTTGATAGTGATGCAAATATTATAATGTGGTTCTAAGTGTATGTAGAAAAATATTTAAAACGATTATAAACAGAAGCAAGGAAAGCAATATAAAGGGAGGTAATGTTTTTACACATCACATAAATTGATAAAATGATGAGAGTCATAGGCCATGATAAGTTAGGCATGCACAATATAATATCTAGGCCAACCACTAAAGAAGTTATACAAAGAGAAACACTTAAAAACATTACAGAAAGCTCAAAATGAAATTCTAAGAAATGCTCAAGTAATCCACAATTAAAGCAGAAAAAACAAAATGAGAAGCAAAAATAGAACAGACAACAGAAATAAACATAGACTGATGCCCTAATATATCAATGACTACATTAAATGAAAATGAGCTAAATATATCAATCAAACATTAGAGACTGGAAGAGTAGATTAAAAACCATACAACAACTCTATGTTGTCTACAAGAAGCTCACTTCAAACATAATGATACAGACAAGTTAGAGGTAAAAGGATGAAGAAGATATATCAAAGCTATAACTTCTTTAAGGCTGTGATAGCTCTGCATTAAATATATTTTTTTCCTTATTCTTCAGGAAGGGCATAAAAAGTTATAAGGCCTAAAGAAGCCTCCCCGAAGATAGCAGCTAAGGATTTGCAGAGCATCTTGGCTTCAGGCTCAGAAAATGAGTATAAATGTCTCAAAAAGTAAAAAAAAAAAAAGAGAGAGAGAGAGAAAGGCCACAGGCAGCCCCATATAAGAATGGCTCATTTGCTTTTGTATCTGAAAAATACACATGTGGTGCACTTGTCCAGCATTCTGGGCAAGGGGAGTGGTGGTGATTAGCAAACTGTAGAGTAGTGTGGGGCCTGCAAGAAGCAGAGCAGGCAAGATGTTCAAGGTTGTAGGATGGCATGGACCTATATTAGTCTCTTGTGGGATTTACTATGGACATGGGCTTCTGGTTGACTATTCTTTCCAACGAGAGGGCATCGGGGGGCACCCCAGGGTAAATGGACAGCTAACCTTAATCCATGAAGCAGCCCTGCAGTGCTCCAGGATTCATCACCGCTCAATATTCTTAGACTCATGATCAATTTGCAAGGCAAGGTTAAAGGGTGAAATCTTATCCAATTCTTTTCCAGCCACTCTCCAGTGGGCTGGACAGATTTCTAACTATGGGCATAGTTTTCCTCTGAGCCAGACATCGAATAAATGCCTGCCTGACATGATCTGTACAAAGCTCTCTAACTTGGTGGGGAACGATGGGTGACGTAATCAAGGGCACGGGCTTCCCCAAATCTGCACTGTTGGCAGAGGGTCAGCGATGCCCTCGGATCTCTGGCCTTTCACTAAGGCCTGCCAAATGAGAAACCACAGGGAGGGCCACGTTCTGGCAGGATCTCCACATTCAGTGGTGACCATCAAAGCAGAGTTGTATCCTTAAACTTAGTGCCAAGTCCTCAAGAAATTTAACAAGGTGTTAATTTTTTTTCCCGAAGTGGTATTTGACCGAAGTGTTTTTAATGTTTTCTAAACAGCACATTCTTCAAAAAGTGTGTTGTGCTCAGTTCCTTTTCATCTGTGAGAGAAATACAGGTGAATGCCAATTCCATCAAACCTTTACACACACAGAAAAGTATCTCTCTCCTGACGCTGCCGAGAAGATGTGGGAAATCACTTTGTTGAATAATTTCATTCTTACCTGCAAAGTGCTAATATGAACAGGAGTCCCTGTACCGTTCACAGTATTCTTCTTAGCCACGTTTCCACCTTTTCCATCTGCTTGCTCAGCCTTAGCAATTCTGGCTTTTTCTGCTTCAACCCTTTTGGGGTTGTTCAACATCACCTGGACGACGGCGTACTCCACCAGAGAGGCAAACCCGAAGAGAAGACAAGCGATGAGCCAAACATCGAGAGCCTTCACGTAGGACACTTTGGGGAGCTCAGCAGCGAGGGTCGTGCACTCAGAGGCCAAGCTGAGGACTGAGAAGATACCTATAGAAACAGAAATAAGGAATAAAGTTGCTTTTTATCCCTATAACATGTTCTGCAGTCATCACTTTTAAATAAATCCCTCTCCAGTAACTTTCAATGGACCATGAAAAATTTATCAGGTCCCTTTAAAGCTCAAAGACTAGAAGAAATCATCAGTACATACTTTTTACCTAGGGATTATTGATTATGATTGGAGATGTTGATAAATGCTTAGCCTTTTAAAAAAAATAAAATAGAAATAGACCAAGGTGTGAAAACACAATTTGGATCTGTTTTGAATTACAGATGTCTAAAATTCTTCTATAGTATCTCTGAGGAAGCCAAAGAGCTCGCTGATTACAAAGGACTATGTATTTTTCAGTTTTGGTTTAGATAGATTTCAGCTTACAGAGCTGAATTATGCCCCCAGGAACAACTAAATCAGAACAAGAATAGAACATAGAAAGTAATTTTCTGATAAGGTTCACAATAAGAAAAAAAATCTAACAGAGAAGACAAAGTAGAGAACGTTCCTGATTATTTCAGGGAAAACAAATGATTCCAGCTTTTCAAGGAAAGGAATTCCAGCTGAAAGCTAACACATTTTGTATCAATTTAAGTAAAGTAACTGTAAATCTCCAGAGAAGAATTTCAATAAATTCTCTCTCTTTCTCTTTCCACTTGCCACACTCCCTCCCATTCTCCTTTCTTTCTTTTCTCCCTTCCATCGTATTTTCAGGAGAAGGGATGATTACAGAAGGCCTTCCAAGTCCTGTAATGGATTTGATACCATGTTAGGTACAGAAACTTATTAAGAAACTTTAAATTTGGGGGAGAGAAATGACATCACATCAAATTACATTACATCAAAAAAGTGTTTAAGTAGTATTACTCTGCTATGGATATACAAAATCAATAGAAAAAGAAAATACAGTAGTTGAGGAAACAAAGTATAAGGAAATGAAGGCCTGGATTATGATAGGATTGATGTGAAAGGATTTTAGAGAAAACATTTGAAAAGACTTGGTTACTGACTGAAGAGGAAAGGTAAAGATTGGGACAAAGTTTTGAACAGGATGACTGGACCAGTCTCCAAGAAAGATGGGAAAAGGAGCCTATAGAAAAGCTGGTGACTTTGGCAGGAAAACATTGCAAGGTTAGTAAGGCCAAGATGCAAAAAACCATGATCCACAGTTACTTCCATAGTTACTTACACAGATACTTCCATATTTAGAGAAATAACTTAAGACAAGAATTGTTAGCTAAAATTCAGAGGGGAAACTTTGATCCTTGTTAACAATGTAAAAAGTGAACAAAAAAAAGACTGGTAGAAAAATAAAAGTAGAATACAGTACTAATTTTTTAAAAAACAAAATGAGTTGAGAGTAAAGTAATTACTTTATGCTATATGTTTTCTCCTAACTTTTAGAAAATAGAAACTGTGGTCCATAACAGAAAGAGATTGGCAGACTGTTTTGTTTTTTTTTTAATCCTTTGGAAGAATGCAGGGGGAGAAAGTAGAAAAAGAAAAGAGATGCTGAGTCAAAACAGCTATATCAACTCCATATCCTGAAACTTAATCTGAATCAATAGTACAATTTCTTTTTTGTTTTCAGATAAAATTAGAAATGTGTAGGTCTGATAACAGACCTTTGAAATACCTGCAGCATAATTCTATAATTATAGTTGGAGATTTTAATACCTCTCAACAACAACAATAATAGTAACTAGATAAAAGAGATAAAAGATTTCAATAGCACTATCACCCAATTTGACTTTAATGGTATTTACAGAGCACCCAACAATGACAAATACACATTGTAAATGCTCATGATGGGGTTACCAGGAGGCATATGCTAGGCTGGGCTATTAAAAAAAAGTCTCAACAAACATAATAGGATTGATATCAAAGAGCATATTCTCTGACAAAAAAATGGAATTAAATTAGAAAGCAATCATATTCAGCTACCTAGAAAAACTCTAAATACATTTCTAAAGAATCTATAGGCCAAAGAAGAAATCACAGGGGAAATCAGAAAATATATCTTAACTGAAAGATGAAAATACAATATACCAATATTTGTGCATGGAAGCTAAAGCAATGCTTACAGGGAAATTTATAACTCTAAATGCTCATGTTAGAAAAGAAGAAAGATCTAAAATCAATTGTCTGAGTCCCACTTAAAGTATTCAAAGAGCAATCAACCTAAAACCAAAGTAAGTAGAAAGGAAATAATAAACTTAAGAGCTAAAATCCATAAAAAAGAAAATAAACAAATAGGGAAAATTAATGAAATGAAAACTAAAAGCAAGTGCTTTGAAAAGATCAATAAAATAAAAAAGCCTTTAGCTAGAGTGATCTAGAAAAAAGAAGAATTTAACAATATCAGGAATGAAAGATGGGACATCACTACAGCCAGACATTAAAAGGAAAAGGGAGCACTATAAACAAAACTCATCTAACATCTAGAAATCAATTGATATAATTCACCAAATAAGAGAAGGTAACCCACATAAATGTTTAAATATCTACCCACCTTCCTCTCTCTGTGCCTATATATTATACTTACTCTGCTTTCTCTCCTGATACAATGCACCAGGGATGAGCTAACTATGACCCAATCTGGCCCACCACCTATTTTTACAAGTAAAGTTTTATTGGAACACATTCACGCCCGTTCAGTTACATATTGTTTACAGCTGCTCTGGCATTACAACAGCAGAGTTTGATGATGTGACAGAAAGTATACGGCCCACAAACCTCGAATATTTACTATCTGGCCTTTTATAGGAGTTTGCTGATCCCTGGGACAAACACATTTTGTTCCCAGCAAAGGCCAATCTCTCCATGTCCTGGACCTCATCCCCTCTCACTTTTTCAAGGACACTGCTCCTCCACTTTTTCTGTCTCTCAGTTTTTCTTCACCACTGGTTGTTTGCCATCAAAAATACACCTACTATGATTTTGTCTACCTCAAAAAAGGAAAAACCTTCCTATTCCCACCCCAGCTATTTCCCCATTCCTTTTCTTTTTAGCGCTAACAATCTCCCACAAGTTGTTTATACTGAGTGTCTCTAGTTCATCCCCTCCTCTTCTCTCTTGAAGCCACTTCAACCAGGCTTCCCCCTTCTCTTCACTACATGGAAACAGTCTGTGTCATGCACACCAATGACTTCCTCAGTTTGCTTAAACTAATGGCAATCTTTAGCCCTAAATTTACTTGACCTATGAGCAGTTGGTTGATTGTTGCCTTCGCCTAGAAGCACTTTCTCCACTTGATCTCTAGGAAATGACACCATAATGGTTTTCCTCATTTTTCCCAGTCCTCTCGCAAGTAGACTTCTCTACTGACACCCACTCCCCTGTGACTCCATTCAGTCTCATTGCTTTAGAGAACATCTATATTCTGAAAAATCTTAAATTTTTACTCTAGCCCTAAAATCTCCAAGAAACCCTAGACTTGTACATCCAACTGCCTGATACCTCCATGTAACAGACACCTCAGACTTAACATGACTAAAACAAAGCTCCCTGTCTGCCTGCCTTTGCAAATCCAGTCTACTTGCAGCTTTTCCCATATCAGTTAACATCAATTTCATCTTTTTAGCTTTTCATCCAAAAAAACCTTGAAACTTGACTCTACTTTCTTAAATCTGACATGTAACACATCTACAGATATCTTTTATCTCCACCCTCACTAGATCCATCCTTGGACATGTATCAGCACCTGCACTATTTTCTTCCCACCCGCCACCGGCCAAACCAGGATTATTTACCTGGATTACTGCAATAGCCTCCCAACTGCTTTCCTTGCTTCCACCATTGCCCCATGTCAGTCTGTTCTCAACAAAGTAGGCAAAGAGACCTGGCTAAAATTTAAGTTAAATCATGCTCAAAAGCCTTTAGGGCCTTCATACTTCACTCTGAATAAAAGCCAAAATCAACAGAATGCTTTTGGAGATGTTATCTTTCTGACCTCATCTCACTCATCTCCCTTCAACTAACTCTGCACTGGCCACACTGGCCTCATTGTTCCCAAACACCCAAGCATGCTCCCTCCTCAGGAAAGCAGCACTCGATGGTCACTGTCCCAGCCCGCTCCTTCCTAGACATTCATGACCCATATCTTCAACTCCTCCATTTCTTTATTAACTATTTATTAGGTTTTTATTTTGTTGACTACAGCCCCATATTCTTGAACAGCATCTAGCACATAGCACAGAATAAATACTTGTTGAGTGAATCAAAATATGTAAAAGTGCTTTGCAAACTGGAGAGCAATATATAAACGTAGCATATTTTAACTCCTGAATGTGTAATACGGGCTTTGCACTCATTTCCTCAATCCTCTCAGTTACACCAGGGAAATATCATCCCTCTTGGTGTTTCAGCAGAGTTATGTTTAAAGAAGTTAAATCTGCTGTCCCAGTTGTCACAGCCAGTAAGCACAGAGCTGGAATTCAAACCCAGGTTGCCTCTAGAGACTGACTTTCAGCCATTAAACACTTCTGCCCCATACGATAGCTCTCCCAGACCTAAGGTGACAGCTCAGGAACCTTGTATCAGAAGTCCTGCAGTGAGTGGAGATTCAGGAGAAAATTCCTTTAAGGATATGTCAGAGATTGAGATGTCTCCAGAGTACTCCTGGAAGCGTGACGTTTATATCCCTACATGAACATAAGATACTTCCAATAAACAAAAAATGATTATTAATGATTACTTTGGAGAAAATGTGGGGTATTTCTAAATCCAGTTTTTTGGAATTTTATACAGTACAATATAATGCATATTTAATTTTCATCCACTGAAGGAATTAATTAATCTATCAGTCATCATTGTCTTCATTGCTGATATATAACCTTTAGGGTGAAATTTCCCACATTTTTGGTTATTAAGATACAGATTTGGTCTTCATTATTATTTTATTTTTTTTTTTTT